CAAATACCTCATTTGAGTCACATAGATACTTGACAAGCTTCTCGTACGATGTAGATGAAGGCATAACATCTAGTTCTTTATGCAGCTTGTTGAACTTCAAGATGGCATCCTCAACCTTTAATTGTATAAAATAAGTCAGAACATGGAAAATTAGAAGGCATCGGTTATCTAAACAAAGACTTTCAAACACTAATTTTCCAGCAATATTCATGAGATTCATATACCATCAGATTTGGGGTGCAAGTCGAATACATAGAGATGAGATCTGAAACGTTCTTCACTCCTTCATCTGTGTGTGTTAATATATTTTTTTATCACATGAGATAACAATGATTTTCTAGAGACATAATATGTATTGTACAATGAGTCAACGTCGAGAACACTTCTTGGTTATGTCAAATGCACCCTTACCACTTTGTCTTAGTTCCCAAAGTAACTTTGTCGCAACAGAATCCAGTGAAAACCTCCCAAGGCATCCAAATATGTTTGCCAATAGGTTCGACGTATGAACATTTGTTATGTCTACAATGTCTAAGACCCTCTGAAGATGATCCTTCTGGCCTTTCTTACATAGTGCAAGCAAATAATTTTCTGTTTGTAAGGACCAAAAAGGTTAATTTCTTCGACGTAAGAGAGCCAACATAAAACCAGAGTTCTCAGAAATGAATATCGCTTACCTTGTAAAATTGATAAGCTTTCTCCATTATTACCATCAATTGTACCGCAGAGTTCCTCAATCTTCTCTCCGTCACCAAGTTGGATCCAAAGAAGCATTTCATAGTAACCAAGTCTTTCAACCGAAGGGGGATTCGCCTCCCTAATGACATCTTTGAAACTATGGAACTCCTCTACCATATCCATACTAATTAAGTAATCAAGAAGAGGACCGTAAACTCTTTCTTCTACCGAGAATCCACGATCTCTCATGGATTTCAGAAGCTCAAAAGCCTTCCCGATGTGGTCAAGAGCATATTCTAAATCATGGCTTCTCTCAGCAAGCTCTAAGTTAACTCCAATCATTGCATTGTATTCTCTTCCACTCATTTCTTCCGCCACCCTATCGAAAGCACCAAACGTAACCTCGGTTCCTAGTTTATGAGCAGAGTCTCTATATATCTTTGCGAAACGTCGAGAAAGACTGTTCTTGTTGTAAACATGTTTCGCCTTCCTTTCACGCGACAACTCTTTCGATCTTAACGAGATATCGAAAGGGATCTTAGTGTTAAAACTCGGTATCTTCAATACATTCGTTTTCGAAGAAGAGCTCTTCTCAGCACTGGTTACTGAAAATGTGATTGAATTGAGATCACTGATCAAACAACAACTCTGAGAGTAAGAAACTTACTGATAAAGACAAGAGGCAACAACAACACATACCACGTAATAGATTCGATACTTGATCCGTTAATGGAGCTTCCTCAAGATCTACGCACAAGATGTTGGGAAAAATCAAATCGGATTCTAAGCATTACCCAGATCAATTTGAACAGGATTCGTTCTCAAGTTCAACACAATTTACTGAAATCGGGTACAATCCCTAACCTTTATCGTTACCAGAGGAGGAAGAGTTTTTGGACATGAGGAGGTTTTTGACCGCTTGAGAAGTTCCGGCGATGTCTCTGTCTTTGACGGTGCCGGAAGCGATAGAAGATTCGCCGGAGTTTCGAATCCGGGAGATGAATACTGAGCTTAGTAAGCTTTTCGTAGTCTTTTTGATAGTCATCTTCGCATTTCAAGCGAGATTGG